GTTGTTGTTTATAACTTGGATTTTCCATCTCAGTGTTTAGATGAATATCATCCAATTATCCATAAATTAATAACACTAATTATAGATTGTCTTCAAAATAAATTCTAATGAAATATCTAACAAGAAAAAGATTGCAGTAGGCATTTTTTATAACTTAATATTTATTGTTATGTTAATATAATTGACTGAACCGTTATGATTTTTTCGTGGTAAGTAAACTGTTTAAACACTTTGATTAAAGAACTTTACAGACTGGGCATCTGTACAAAACACCCTCGTGCGCTATTTCATGACGTAAGGTTCATTTAAGCATTAAATCGTTCGAAACTCCATAAAGGAAAGAGAAAATGTGACATAACCTCGGTCCAATTTCTCACTGGACGTAGGATAACAAAGTTTACCAGAAACAGCTAATATTACCTACGCCCACATCTACCCCATACTCATTTATTTAGGGTTGTAAACAGTGGCCGCAAACTAATATTTATTAACCATACTGAACCGCCACACCGTTTAATATCGACTTTATCTTTTTAGTTGTTTTAACATAACGCAAGTAATAGTTTTATGCAAACATTTCTTGTATTGGTTTCTTTCCTCTGAGATCAGCAAACTGGTAAAAATGAAGTTTCACGTTACTACCTACTCGCTCTAAAAATAAAACCAATACGGAATTTTCTGCTGGCGGGTGGCTGTCTATGTATAACACAATTTCCTGAGAGTGCCGGAATAACACCACTCAATCCCCGGACTAACCACAGACGGTCAGATTAATTCGACAAAGAGCGACGCGACATTGGTTTCAGATGGAGCAGTTTGCTCACTGGTTTTGGCATTAATAGCTCTAAACCGTTTATTACCATATTGGGAGAAGTGTTATGAAAGATCCCTTTTGATGGTAGAGGTGTTGACAATGTTGTTAGAGGTCTTTGCATAAAATGAAAATTAATCACTTAGTTTTAGTTCTGGGATCCGGGGACTCCGGCTAAAATGTGCTAAATAGACACTCGCTGCTTTCAAATTTAAAATTTACAGTTCACGCTGCAAGGATTTTAAAGCTTGTAAAATAAAAATATAAGCTCCAGAGCGCTTTATCCAACTTGCAGTTTAAGGTTTAAGAAAAAATTAAATTTTATGCTTATTAAATGATGCCCATAAATTATGTAGCGTCGCAGTGAAAATGATTTAGAGATAAAACATTGTTATCACTTGTGTTTGGTTTATTTAACAGAATAAATATTTGTTTGTAATAATAATGGTGACATTTATTTTGAATAAAAGACGTGCTCCAACCTAAAACAAAAACTTCACGATAAAGTTGCCTTTAGAACTCAGGAATTAACTAACAAATTTAATATCTCTACAGTGCGTAGATGTTCAAGATTATTTATTTTAAATGTCAACTGTAAAATTCCACTCCTCTCCGTTCTGGCATACTAAAGATTATTTATGTTAAGGATCTGGAATAAAAGTAAATAAAAGTTTAATATCAAGCGTCGTTCAGAATTTTAAAACGATGCCTTATTAGTAGCTAGACGCATGAACACCAACACAATCGGGCATGGTTTTACCACTTTAACATTATTTTTCTGACACAAAAAGTTGATTAAACCTCTATTAACAAACATCGAATATTGGAAATAAATAAAATGTACTAGATTTCAATTAGTACTGTAAATATTTATGAACCACAACGTTTGGAATTAATTATGTATTACATTAGAAATTAGTGAATCGTTAGCTTGTGAAAATAAGGTAAATAATCTCGTCAGCAAAAAATGATGACCAGCAAAACATAGACTTTGACATACGCCCTGAAATTCATTCTCTGTCACGGTTGTAAACACGGAGAATGAGACTAGCCTTAATTTTATCTTTTTTCAACATATAGCGCTTATGGGACAGCCAACATATTAACCGGCATCAGTTTTGCGTACAAAGGCAAGATTGAGTTTGCCTTCGTCTAGTGTGTTGAAACACATTATTTAATTATGGGAACAGCGAATATCCACCGATGAAAATAAGAATAACAATAATTGTTCATATTTACTTACTATATTTAAAAATTAGGAAACAACATTTTAATGGCTAGAAATGTATAGAATAGATCAGGGAAAATAACAATAATGATACAGCGCGAATTCATTGTTGAAGCATTGCCTCATAGGACAAGCCAACCCTTGATTAATTGTTATTAACAACTGCTTCAAAAATATGAAGGCATTGATAAAGAGCAAGGTTATGCCTGTATTTCTAGCGAATTTTCCCATTTGAAAATGTTTCAATTAAAAAGACGTATGATTTGATCAATAAAATTGGGTGAATTATTCTTGATTTAATCAATAAAAATAGAGCCACAGTTTAAAATAAAAAACGAAGCCACCCACTCAGCGCTTCGAATGCGGGTTAGAAGGCGGAGACGAACTCAACACGCAATTAGACTGCCGCTTATACTCCTAATATAAAAGGTCACATACAATTTGGATTTTTTTTACGAAAGTTTGGATGTGTACACCACAACTGTAGAAGTATATTATTATATAACATTCAAATCATTTTAATGTAGATTCTTTTGAGATGACGTCATCGAATTCTTGATGGGGATGATCAGTCAAATTTTGATTAACGTTTTAGCATCTACATGATATTCCTAATGCAACATGTACTAGTAGTTTCGGGCACCTGTCTAGTAAAATTTGACACTGACGACAGACAGACGAAACCGGGAGACCACTTTATTCACACTCTAGAGGTAATGAAACATCGAGAAAACATGAAAACATTTTATTTTATAACATATATAAATAGCATAATGCTTACATAGTTATGATTTTTGCTTTTTGAGTAGGTACTATTACCCAAAATTATTTCAATAAACTGAAAATGTTTAAAAATTTAAAATTCAATTGAAAAAAGAATACATTATTTTGTTTCTTCTATTCAGCGATTTTTTTGTCTACCTTCCGTTCCATGTGTTATTTTTGTGTTATCGAATACTGAAAGGGAAAAGGAGCGCTGGGAATGACTATGAAACGCCAGGGATACATCTCGATTCATTTTTCATGTTCATTGAGTCGTAGGATAAAAGAACTGAACTTTTAGCGTATAGATTTTAGTCTTAAATTCATGTAAGTCAGTTGATGTAACAATCTTTTAAAATATGTATTTGCTTTTGTGTATTTAAGAAAATCAACTCCTTGACCTGATAATAATATTTCTTCAATATTACTGCAAAATGATAATTCCAAATCAACGCCAAGCATTAAAAAACGGAATTCTATTCAATTAATTTTGGAAATATTTCCACTGTGACCATGCAGTTTAATGAAAAAGATTGCGCACACAACAAAGATGTTCGAAATATTTGACGACATTCCGTGAGATTCCAAACTAAATCCAATCGGTTCATCTTCAAGGATAGTGCACATATGAATACTGCGAAGAAGGTACAAAGAGAAAAAATCGAGAATTGTCGCCAAGTATGCTTTCAGAAAACTTACTTACAAAAACCTCATTTTCCTTCAAATAATACATACAAGCACGGCAATAAAGTACTAAAACCATCATTCCTTTCTCCATTTCTCTATCAGCATTGTTAAGGAAACATAAAACCCAAAACACAGTCTGGAGTTCCAGATTTATTTTAAAATAACGCAATTGAAACCGGAAAAATGTATCCAAATTAGCAAATAACCTACGCCCACGACAAAGTGAGTTATGAGCATTTTTTAATCTGTTAATAAAAACCAGCTGATAAAATTAAACGAAAAATACAAAGAAAATTCCATTCACCACCAAATTGAATCGAATTATTAGTTATGATTTTAATTGACAGAGATAATTTTTTACTTTCACTCAAATGTAAAAGTAATCACTTAACGATGAAGAAAAAACATACATCCTTAAAGAGTATATGAATCAATTTATAATGTTCACACTAATTAAATATTTGAATATTTGTTTCTTTTTTGGAAAACCCATGCAGTTTTTTTGTACTCATGGAAGTTATTTGCTTAAAGAAAGTACGTACTTACGTAAATATTTAACCACTAGTCATAACTTTGTTCTTTTATTATTATTTATTAGATAGTCTTGCTTTAAAAAACCGTGTAAGATATACGAGTATTTCACACAAGTTACACTTGGTGTAATTTAGTATGAAGTCAGTTAAAGTCATACAAATGTGGTTTATAATATAAATATTATTTAATGAGTTGTTGAAATATTTAGCTCACTCTTTTATAGTGAACAAAATTTAGAATGCAATCTATTTATATGGTAATTTGTCAGTATGAGATATGTGACTATAAATGTATTAATGAGGAAACATTCTAGAATATTTACATACAAATTATGCTGAAATTCATAAATAAAGATCATTAAAGTATCAACTAGGTCCACTGTAAAGACCGGTTCCACCATAATAATTATTTTTAATTGAAAAATAACAGTTTGTCATAATTTTGTGAAATATTTTACTCGTAGAAAAACACTTAAAACTTGCATCGTTTTCTAAATTAATTTGTACATTGAATTTATAAAGATCGTCGATTTCACAGAGTATTAAAATTGTGTTTGTTATTCACTTGCTCTTGCAAAAATATGTATACGAAGGAAAATTTATCGGCAGGTGTAGAGACCTTGTGAATAAAATACAGCATCCTTCTTGTCGTTTATTTTTTCCAATTTTGCCTAAAAATAAGAAACATTTTTATCCCTGCAACGCTGATGCTGAAATACTATACATTTTCCCTTAGCGTACCGCTAAAAATGTAATTTTTAAAAGGCTAATAGCTCCTGAGAGCAGGTTATTATGCCCGTTTGTCATGCATGGATCTTCACCTATAACTATATGGTTTCAAATTTTATTAAGGAACTGGGGCATCCACCCGCGATAATAATTCATACGTGAATTAATTATTAAATTACAACACAAATAGGACATAGAGGAAATTCAATATGGTTCAGAGAGTTTCGTTGTGCTACCGCGGCTTCAAAGGTTATCAAACAAGTTTTTCTAAGAGACGTGTATAATTATTACATAATTAATTCAAGAACATGTGAAAAATTTTTCAAGAATCAATTTAGTATGTCTTTGGCTTCACGTTATTCGGACCGTTGTAGAAAAGCGAGCTATTAGTGATATTTGGATGAACATGACGTGATGACGATTACTAAAGATAAGATTTTCGTATAATTTTACCATCTGGTTTATAAAATTGGCTCAGTGCGTCACGAGCCACAATAATGTTAAAATGCCGCGAAAACTTTTCATTACCGTAATAATTGTACTAAATTCCATGTGAGTATTATTCAAATACCTACGGCTGTCACTAGTATGTACATATATATACAGTATGAGACAAATACTAGCCTTTCCATTGTCCTAATCATCCTCTCTCTATGTACATTATCTTTAGCCTGTGCAAAACAACGCTTCTTCAGCAATGCATGAGACACCCTCCCAAGAATGCTACTAAAACAATGTACAACCATCAGATAACTATTTAACCCTCAAAGCTGCACACCCAACATAGGGTTTTATGTCCGATATTAATATCTACTCAGTCTATAACACGTATTAACAATTTCCTGAATATTTGTTGTAGGTAATATTTTGCAAATCTGGTTAAATTATTCATCAAATCACATTATTTAACAAGTAATTTCATAAAAAAAGTGGAATCGTTTTAACCTCTTTTCACAGTGATTGCCTCTCTAAATAAGATACACAAAAAATAAAAATAAGCGAAATCTCTCTTATATGATCAAATAACGATGTCACAACTGAGTTACATGCAGCGAATTAAATAGTGCATAATAACTTTAAATTATGGTTTGAATCACTAAGGGTGCATGTTAACAACACTTACATGTTTATAATAAAATAAATCATCAATGGATTTTTTTTTCAAAATTCCTAATCCAATACCTTTTCGTAAAAGATACACATATTTTGTCTTTTTTTTATCAATATATCAAAATAGATGGTTTGTTTTTTATTATTTTCAAAAAAGATTCAAATAAAAATTGCTTGACGCTTGTCCCCAGCAAGTTTTACTGTATATTGACACATTTTTTTTAATTAAAAGTTTGTTTCCTCTCATTCACTTGAGCTAAAAATAAAACAGAGCTGTAATTTTTAATTTGGTGCATTTAAGTTTAATAGAAAAGGAGAAATTAGCGCACTCGTGACAAATACCAGCACTGCATGTCCTCTTTTACGAACAATTAAAATAAGACGTATTTTTCTAGTCAGTTTCTATTTTCGCAAAATTCGAACGATTAGAAATGTGCATGTAATTAATTACGCTATAATATCTACAAGATTGGAACCGCATCGAAGCCACATCCCGCGCCACACTATTATTACGATAAATAAAAATTAACGTATTAATTTTAACTGAAAAGTCTGATTCTACATAAATAAGGGAGATGTTTTGGCATTTAAATAATTCTACAAAGTAACACCGCAGTAAAATTTGATTGTATTATGTTGATAATTTCTTACGTAACTATGGAAAAAAATACATGTTCAAATAGCAAAACAGTTTCTAAACATAATTAAGCCCTGTTTTACAAACTTTGAATAGTACTAACTATCTAACTAACACAAACGTATTCAGCTGCAGAAATCAGCTTGTTCTTTTACTTTGCTGTAACACAAGAACAACAAACAAATACATGTATTCACTTTAGGCACTAAAGTAATTCATAGAAGATCTTTGGGAAAAACACACCGTTAACAATAATTTTCCTTGTTGATTTACCATCTAGTAAAACTAGCTTCCATCGAGATTACCTATCGTAAAATGTATTTACATATTTATTTATTTAAAGGTAGTAGACCTTTCCATAACGTTAAACTGACAGAAAATAAATAATGGAATCAGTGGGTTTTTTATTTGTTTTAAAATAGTTATTTATAAAACTAAAATCCATGTGGCCAAAATGAACAGCAAAACTGTTCAACATTTAGTAAAAATATATGTTATTTGCATATAATAATTATTGTTTATAACATAATGTAAATATTAAATAAATTTGAAAATCTTGATAGATCTACGCATTCACAAGCGTATAAATGAAAAAAACTTAATAGTAATAATAATACTTGAAAACTTTAATGTATAATTCAAATAGTAATTATTTCACAAATTTCGAATGGTTAGAAATGTGCATACAATTAATTACATTATTACATCTATAAGATTGGAACCGGATTGAAACCACATCCTATACCACATTGCTATTACGATAAATACTAAAAATTAACGTATTAATTTTAACTGAAAAATGTGACTATAAATAGAATAGATGTTTCTACATTATTTATATACTTTTATACAGTAGTAAAATTTTATTTGAGTTTTTTCGTATAAAAATTAATTTGTACATTTTTCAATATAATTATTGCTTGTTAAAGAACATAGAAATAGGAAGTATCAGTGTCATATACAGGGTGACTCCTTTATCTTTAGAACTAATAAATAACACAAATATGATTTTTCTCGTGTTTACATTTGTGTAAATCAGTTGATAATGTTTTATGTAAATATAGAAAAAAATGCAACTAAAAAATAAAATGTTTGTTTTTACTTCAAAAATGTAATTAAAATATGAAATCGAACAACATCCACAAATGAGATTTTTTTTCAATCAATTGTTCAAAAAAAGTCTTCATCAGCTTTTAAACATAATTAAGCCCTGTTTACATCAACCGTATAAACAAGATCACTCAGCTATGACATAAGAATAACACGTAAAATACATATTACATATAATACTGAATTGAGGCAGAACAACAAAGGTGATAATATTTTTCCTTGCTACTCTGAATGAAATAAAATCTTGTTAATTTAGGTTTTAACCCTAAAATATATTTACATATTTAGACAAGTAAATCTTTTTAAGCTTTTAAACCAACAATATATAATAACAATAATTGATGAATTTATGGAATATAAAAATATATATGGTTAAAGTGAACATCAAATTTGTTGAATTCTTCTAGAATTAGAAATAACCAAAACTTTTCAACATTTTTTTTTAATTAATAATAAATATATATATATACATATTTTATTTTTCACTAGAATAAATCATCAAAGAATTGGTGAAGTAAATATTATGGTTGTCGCAGCAAAGTTATATTTTACAATTGCTTCAACGATCTCGGACTTTGCATATAACGCTTTTTGCATCATAAAAACATGTTATTTGCATATAATAATTATTGTTTATAGCATATAGTAAATATAAATAGCGACAATTTGTTGACCTTAGATAAAAAAAATTCCAAGTAAATAAATACTGTCTAAATTTTATAAAATAATATTTCTCTACTCTGGTGGTTTAATAATATATCCTTATTTTTTATTTTAGATGTAAAATGTACTTTTGCGAATTTTATTACATATTTTTTTTTGTAGCTGCATGTAATACTACTAATAGTATTGTATGCTATAATAGACATCCTCATTCATTAATTTTATTGACTCACTCGGTATAATTAATTCTAAGCATTGATAAACCGGAAGTATAGATTAGTAATATTTTAGGATTTATTCGGCAAAATTTTGAAATGACACCATTATTTGGGGGGGGGGAGATAAAGGGATACATTTTGATTTACTATTTTACCGTAAAACGTTTGCAAGATTTCAAAGCACTCAGTTTGTCAGTGCTATAGTCCCAAAATTAAATTGCGAAAATGTTATTATTTTTTTCAAAAATTTGGGTGTCTAGGGTAAAAACTCAACACGGATTGATAAACAACAAGTGCAGGAGTATGTTAAATTTAAATAACATTTACTATTGTAAATTCTGGAAATGACATCATCCCAGTGGCGGTCAAATAGTTTTGGAGATTACCTGTTTAATAAAAATTGACACAGGTGACAGACCGTGAGATGTACTTTTTTGTGCTCTTGGGATCATGAAACATCCAGAAAACATGAAAGTAGCCATTTATCGGATGGACCCTATTTAAATACTTCCTTGACGTACGCTTAGAAAATTTACAAGAAAATTTTGCAATTTAACTTATAAACCACAAACCATTTGTTTTAAAATTTTGCACACACCCTGTAAGCTTATCGGGAACACGGTAAAGCGCTAACCAAACTGTTCCTATCCATCTGTTCCACAAAAATGGATGACGTCACATCAAAATTTCGTTAAGTAAATGTCATTTAAAATGTGTATTCCTAATTTTTACAGTTATTTATACAGGATAAATAAAAATGGCTAGCATAGTTCTTGAGATTTTGGATGTCGATATTACGTTGTACCTATCCAAACTGATATTATTAGTATACAATTAATTATTAGAGATACAACAAAAAGTCGAAGACCAAAGTTTTATGGTTCTTTAATGACTATACTCTAACATTATTTTTAAATATAAAGAATGTTCTGTTTTTACGGTTTAACACACAACTTAGTTTTTTCAATGAAACACCCTATATATTTTTACATATACTCATTAACCTTTTCCTAAGCTTTTAACCACGGTTTATTTTTGAAGTTTCTATGCGACATTGCCAGGTTATTCCAATTTTCTTGAAATTTCTTGGTAATGGAAAGGTTCACAAAAAAATCGCAAGAGGGTTATATTTAAATATTTTGTGGAACGATAAATAAAGGTACGCGCTTTGTTGTGTAATCAATTAAATCAAATTTTAATATACAAAGTGTTTACGACAAAAATCTAAAACTTTACAAATATCAATATTTCAGTTTTTTTCAAATAGAACACTCTGTATTTAATTGAAGTATGTTACTTTAGTTTTTGTTCACATTTTTCTAATATGTCGATGTATCTCTTAACAAAGTAATAAATCTCAGTAACTATATCAACTTTAAATATAGAAAATAAAAAAAAGAAAGAGAACAAAAATAGAATAAGATCCAGGGATAAAATATAGGGTGTTCTATTTGAAAAAACTGAAATATCGATTTGAAAATCGTAATAATTAAAAAAATTTATAGACCACAACAAAGCGCGTATTTTGAATTTTTTTCTCCACAAAATATTATAACACAAATGTTAAAAATAACACTATAACTAGTATATAGAATATTTCATTAAAAAAAAAGTTGTATATTACCCATTACAAACAAAACACTCTGTATATGTAGAGTGACTCGCTCTATATATTTCTTCTAAAACTTAATGACCTCATCAAAAAAATTTGTTTAAAAAAACTGTCTTTAAATATACGCACAACCAAAATTAAATTGTATAGTTTATTAACAAATTGCATTTATTTAACTGATTGTACTTTAGGGGAGCGGAAAGTTCAATTTACATAACTTTAGATTATTTGATAAAGTTGTGAAGTCATCGCTGGATAACTATTCACTTTTTTGTACAGTAAAGTGAATGTAATTGTTTTGAACCTGTGGATAGTATTAAAATTTCCCGATAATTTTTTTTCAAGACCAATTTTAAATAATTTTTGAATTTCATGATGCTTCTAAAAAAATACGTGCTATAAAAAGCCTAGCTTCTGTTTATAACCAAAGGGTTAAATAAAGTCACCTTTTTTCAATATGGCAAAATTTGAATTTATACACAAATTCATTCTCTAAAATTAATTTGGTTAAAATTGTTTATGCTTTAAATTTTTCCTATAAAGTTTATAAACCTCATATAGCCGTGTTCGTGCTTTCGTTATTATGTTACACATTATTTATAACAAACATTTAATAAAACGTTGTTTAAGTTAGAAAATTTGATTTTTATATTTTCACAACTTGTGAATACACGTTGTGTAGGAAACTATTTCTATTAAGTCGTTATTAACTTTGTATTACAGTAAGCATCACGCATGCGCAGTTGGTGCTATTCCAACGTGTGCATGCACCATACTGTTTTCCAACATGGAACTGCTATAAGTCACTGATCCCTAATTAGTCGAGAATAGATTAAAAAGTTCTTTTTTATTTTCCTTCCGAATATTTTAACAGTTAAAAATAATTTAAATTTGTATGTAGACCTTACAGCTTCCACCCTTATTTTAAAACTCTTTTAATGCAATTGTGCCACTCTTTGAAACTTTAATTATTACAAGAATAAGTTTTATAACAATAATTATAAATTTTCTTGGAATGTGCTTGTAAAGTTACTAGAGTGTAATGACAGGCATAAATATTTAAGCATCTTAAAACATTCTCTGTGAATTACAAGCACCATTAAAGGCTTCACAATTAGAATACCAAATTACCTTAATGAGCCTCCGTAAATTGCCCAAGAATTATTGGAATTATATTTACCTAAGTATTTGTTCAAGACCTGTATATAAACTTGGCATTCTGTTATTTGCAAGTCTGTTCATTAATAAAACATTGACTTTTTTGTCCCAATTTGTTTTGTTTACTTATTAAATTAATTCTGGTAAAACATTAAAGCATCTTACTTCATAATCGACAAAAAAATCTAAACAAAATGTGAAATATTACATCATCGTTTCATTACTACATACAACAGATGTTCATATTCTCTTAACGTAACAAAATATCCTGTAAAAACACATGAAATTTTCCTTGCTTGTGACACGTCGGCGTTATACAGCTCTTCAGCTTCGACTTAATTTAATATTTTTCATTAACTTCTAGTCTTCAACAGCCCGTTGATGGCGGTTTCACGGAAGGTGCAGCTTGCAGCAACCGCAACACCGCATATCTCAACCCCTCAAAAGCTCTTTTTCCGTCAGATCCCGTAAAATGTGTTGACATAACCGGAATGGGAAAATCTTTAATTTTCTACAAACAATGGCCGATTGGACAAGCGGACACCCTGTACGCCGACCACATGCATCTGACGAGCTTTAACAGAACAATATTTACTTTTATGCCGAATTTGGAGATGGTGGATTTAACCGGAAATAAAATCAAAAGGTTGCCCATAGCCATGAGCAGCGTCATTCCGAAACTGACAACGCTCCTCCTAGCGAAAAACAGGATCCAGATACCGAAGAAGAAGCCTCTGATGCGATGCTTTACGATTAAAACCCTCATGTTGAGCCACAATAAAATTAGAGCGCTTCAAACGATGACGTTCGCCAAGACGCCATCGCTGAGAGTTCTGTATTTGGACAGCAATTATCTTAAATATATAACTCCGAAGATGTTTAGCCATTTGACAAACCTCAAGTATTTGCATTTGGGGAATAATTTGTTGAAGCGCGTACCTTCGAAGGCTTACATGCCGAAGTCCCTAAGCATTTATATTGTTAAAGGGAACAAACTAGAACGCAAGAGGAATGCGGCGCGACCGAAACGAAATACTGCAGTTTCCTTAAAGATTTCTTAATTTTAAGTCGTGTGATTAAATTGTTATTGTAGTTGTTATTCATACGGCTTTGTATTTGTACTTAGTTTCTATTAGTTAATATTTGTATCATTTTTCGTGATATTTCATGATAAAATTAATATTTCAACGATTGAAAGTGATTGTTTGTATTTTCTATCAACACTTCATAAACATTAAACATAACTTATGAGTAATTACACTCCGGTATGTTGATTCGTTATTGGAAAGGTAGAATATTAGATTAGAAGTTTAATATAAGCACGGTACTCCAATTCCACTGAATTTCTGCTATGTGTATATTCTGTATATGCGTTACACTTATAAAACAATAATAAATCATGTCACGTAGAACATTTTAATATTTAAGTTAAAGTAAAGGATATGAATGAATTTCGGAATCATAAATCACCACGATTCCATATATATTATTGAAGTTAGCAGCTACCCAAGTTAATTAAACTTTAAATAAACACATTCATGTTCAGTAAGCGAGACCTGAATTCTAAACTACTCGATGCGACAACAAACTCAAAATCTAAAAAAATCTTCATCAAATCTACGTCTCACACGTTAATTTAAATATAACTTCAACTTAAAAAAACAATTAGTACATTTTATAGATCTTTTAAACGAAAGTCAATTTTCCACATTATGCAGATATTCAGTTTATTTATTATTTTTTTCAGCTTAACTAACTACTTATTATTTTAAATTTGAGAACACACAACTAAACAAGATTTCTATTTTTACTTCCCGAGCGTAATGAAATTCTTGTTTTCTCGACGTTTCATGACTCTTACACTATGAAAAAATAGGTCTCCCATTACCATATGTCTGTCGTCTGTTTGTTGTCTGTCTATCTCACATTTTGACGATTTTATTAGACAGATAACTTCGGAAAGTATAGGACGATTGTTCTCACCAACAATTCGATGACGTTATCTCAAAATTTTGCACAGGCAAATTTTTTAAAATAAAAGACTTATATACCTGCGGTTTATGAAGCCGTTTATTCTATATCCCAGATATCTATATTTTTGGAACAAAAATCAGAATTGTATAACATTTTACAGTTTAACGTAAATACTACAAAACCCAATGTTCTAAAAACATTTTAAGGTTATTATAAACATTATTCAAAATTTATCTATAAAAACTTGATGACGTCATCGTACATTTTTTGTTTGATAAATTGTGTCTAGAATGTGCTAAATATTTCTTGTGAATTATCAATACACTCATATTTTTAAAATTATTTCTACAAGGAAACTCAAAACCTTAATAAATGTAACAGTTTTTTTTATTGATTAAACACAAAATGGCTTATTTTTTGCCCGAAAATTTTGAAATACAGTATTATTAGTATTACTTCACACATCTAAATTTCTAAAATGTTGGTGATGTCATCACAAAATTTGATTAGGAAAAATTCCCTTGAAACATACGCATAGCATACATCTTTATGTTAACAGTCCATACATATCTTTATTTTGACTTATAGAAGGTACCACAAAAAAAAAAAACTCTCAAAATCAAATTTTATCATCCAAATAGTCTTAGACGAATTTTTTTAATAAAATGCATAAACAAGCAAAGGAGGTCTTGTAATATGTCTCTATTCTGTTTTTCGATATAATTAATTATTTACATTTTTCACATATCCAGGATGATATAATTACAAATGCAATAAAAATTCCTAAAAATATAACAGATGCATAAAAAACTATATATGTTAATTATGTTATTTTACTGTGTATTATTAAATAAGAGCATCTTTTTGAAGTGTAAACTCAGTATGAAACAATATATCTCCCGTTTCCGTCTGTCTGTTCTGTCAGTTCTGTCGCTGAATCTGAGATTTTTACAAAAAAAATTAAAAAAAAATTAAGGTCAAAATTGGCCTATTGCATACTCCGGCATGTGTGATTCATGAATCCGTGTCGAGTTTTCACCCTAGACATCCAGATTTTTGAGAAAAAATCAAAATTTTATTTTACAATTTATCTTTAAAATAAATGCGAATGTACTGAAATATTTCAAACGTTTTAAAGTTATAGGAAAGATGATAAATCGTTAATCAAAATTTATTCGATTAAGGCCTTCTCCAAAAATTATGAGGTCATCCTAGAATTCTACCAAACAAATGTTCTTTGAATTTTATAAAATAACATAGTCCTGCATGTGTGATTTATGAATCCGAGTTCATTTTTTACTCTTAGCATCCAGACTTTTGGAAAAAAAATCAACAGTGTATAACAATATTTTACAATTTAACTAATTGCAAAAATTGCAAAAACCGAATGCTGTGAACTCATGAAAATATTTTAAGATTGTTTTGTGTCCTTTCCTCTACGTTGAGGATACAAAATTAACCAAATTTCATTTTCTTTTAACCGCTGCTGCTTGTAATCTCAACGTGGTAAAAGTCGAATTCGGTCGAAGTATAAAATGAACAGTCAAAGTTAAGCATATAATGAGAAATTGAGAGTGTCTATTTATTTCCCGTTAGTTATAGAAGTTAACAGTGATCACTAAACGAAAATCGCAAAATCTAATTTTATAATTTTTTAAAAAAGCGGAATTTGTCGGACTAAATTTCAAGGGCGAAGGAAGTTCTGACAAGATAACCTTCCACAATTTTTTTAATAGCTTTGTTTTTCGTGGTGGCGTCATCAAAATTCCAAAACCTACATCATTTTTTCAAAACTCCAATATCGCCAGCAAAACTGAAAATAATAATAGTAATAATACCTAAACAACAACTGCATACAATACCACAGGGCCTCACTTTGTAAATTTTCCGGTGGACCCGCAATGTTTTCTCGACACTTCACGGCGCACAAAGTACGAACAAATAGGTCTCTCGTTTCCGTCTTTTATAAAATTGCGAACTCCTGTATTTGTAGTTTATGAGTCTGCCTTGATTTTTTACCCTAGACATCGAAATTTCGCAAAAAAATCCAAATTGCATCATCACATTTTATATCAGTGAAAGAGTACTGACGTGTGATACATCCGTGGCTGATTACTATTCATCAAATCAAGAAGAACTCACGCCATTTTTTTGAAAATTTGAAAATACAATAATTCTGCGCTCGCCTACATTTAATATAATAAAATAAGACTTATAAACTTATCACAGCGACAGCCACTTACCCAAAATAATATTTAGAATGTTTTGCTCCATTGCAGCCGAATTAATCATTTAATCCTCGCATTCTTTCGATGTATAAACATAAGCAATCAAAGTTAAACATAGCATGTTTTTTTACCTACAAATGTCTCATTTTATTTCAGAATACCATTCTACCGTCTGTGTCGAATGATATCTGTGAAGAATACACAAAAAACAAAGAATTTACTAATATTTTTGCTTCGAGTCCAGTTATAGCGAATCAGTTGCCTCCAATTTATTTACCTGAATTATAATTATCAAATACCTTTTTCTTTGAGGTAGTGCTTCTCTTTTTTTTATATCGTCAAAATCGTAAAAAATTTGCAGATGATTCGACAAGTTAGGGTTCAGATTCACGCATAATTTAAAACTTCAAGTTAACAGTTTCCCTAATTCCACATGGGTTTTCGGCATTTAAGTAGTTTTATAACTTTCAGGACCGAACCTGATTTTCCTCACCCCTGGTCATAAAAACCAATCTATTTTGCCCTTGTTTAAATTATTTGCAAAAATTAAAAAAAAATCGTAAAAAAATTGCCGATGGTCCAAAAACAGGAGCTACGTGTCCACGCATAATTGATGACATTTTTTCAAACAATATTTCCTCCCATTCGCTTCTTCTGTGTAATTGTAACCGAAACGTTATCTGTTCATAATACTAACAAATTCAACGAAAAACTAAATATACGTGGCAAGAAAAATCATAATTAATTTTGTTTATCGACTATAAATATTTAACACAATGCACATTACATCAATAAATTACATTGCGTTAATGTATAGACCAATAATTAATTTTATCCATTCTACACATCTGATGCACAAAACTGATCCTAATATTTGAATGGGAATTCAATTTATAATTTCCCTGTTTATAGCATACGATACAGAATGTTAAATGCCTAAAAATACTTACATATACGGTGCTCAGACAGTGACATAATTCAACAGTCCACAACAAAGAAATATTCAAAAAGTAAAAAATCTTGAAATTCAGTATTTTATATCCGAAACCAAAAATGTGTTCCCTTATTCCTGTGTCGTGCTATTATTAAAAAAAAATGGTTGCCTTGAAATCGTTGAATTTACTAAAGAATTTTTTCATAGTTTGGAGTTTCAAATTCCATTCATTATAAACATTTATTGAAAGCCGCCCTCATCTGTGAAGCACAAGCAACACTGTGTGCATTCTCAATACAAATTTATACAAAAATAAATATATTACTTTGGAATAAAATCTGAGCTAAAATAAAGTCCAGTTTGGTGAATTTTTTACTAATTTACCAATGAATCCAAGTCTCTAAAACCATACATTAGCGAATTATTTAAAAAGTTCATGAGAGGATCGAACTCGCACCAGAATCGTACCCGCGATCTTCGCATTAGTACGACAACGTAAAAAGCCACTGACCCAGTATAACCGCGTCCATTCGGTTACTCGTTATACTAAGAATAAAAGGTTGGTAACAATTTGGATTTTTTTACGAGAATCTGAATGGCCAGGGTAAAAAATCAAGGCGGATGCATAAACCACAATTACAAGAGTATGTTATTTTATAAAATTTAAATTAGATTTACTGTGTAATAATATAATTAACGTCTTCAAATTATGGCAATAATTAGACACATTTTGGTTAGCGTTTTACCATCTATACGATATTCCTAAGATACATATAAAATAAATGGGAGTATCTTTATTTAGGAGTAATAAAACAAATTTTAGTTAACGTTTTATCAGCTACACGGTAATTTGAAAGTCCAGTAGTTTCAAAGATTACTTGTCTAACAAAATTGTCGATAGAATTTAACTACGTACCCAGTAAAAACTTTTAATTTAATTTAATTCTAGACTTTCGTTGTGCTTGTTTGAGCAAAAAATATAAATTGGCTGTGAACCAAATAAAGGCAAAAAGTAAATGTGTTCATAAAAGTGACATACAAAATTTCTAATAAAATATAAAATAGTCCCTGTATAGATTTTAATGCATATAAAAATTAGCAATTGCAC